TTTTTTTTTTTTTTTTTTTTTTTTTTTTTTTTTTTTTTTTTTTTTTTATTTATATATACCTGTAGCTGTTGCGTAGCTTTAACCTCTCCTCCCTGCAGCAATTGATTATCTCCTCTATATATAAGTTTAGAATGATGAAAAGAAGAGAGTTTATTATTATTATTATTATTTATATTATTATTATTTATATTATTTATATTATTTATATTATTTATGCATGCAAATGGGTCTCCTCTCATGCTTCGGCTTTTGGGATCATAAAAGGCAGAGGAGATATCTAAATTTAATAAATATTTAGCTGTATCTTCTCTTATACGTAAATTTTTTGTATTTATTCTATTTCTTTCGTCTTTGCATGCGACTGGGGCTGATGTTTTATCAAATGCATGCAGTTTTATATCTTCATCATCATCTTCTTCTCCTTCTGTTTCTGTATCTGTATCTGTCTCTGTTTCTGTCTCTGTTTCTGTCTCTGTTTCTGTCTCTTTGTCTTTGTCTTTTTCTTTTTCTCCTGCTGCTTCTGCTGCTGCTGCTGCTGCTGCTGCTGATTCTGCTGCTGTTGTTGAGAGGAGTGATTTGTTTATCTTTATACCGAGTGCTGCTGCTTTTGCTGCTGCTTTTGCTGCTTCTTCTGCTGCTGCTGCTGCTGCTGCTGCATCACCACTTGCTTCTGCTTCTCTTGCTGCAGCAGCAGCAGCAATAGCATCATTTTTAATTTTATTTTTTTCATGTTTTTCTTCTTTTTTTTTTTTTCTTTCTGCGTTTCTCTTTTGTCTCCTTAATATCCTCTCCTCTCTTTTTCTTTTTTTACTATCTGCTGCTGCTGCTGCTGCTGCTGCTGCTGCATCACCGCTGCTGCTGCTGGTGTGCTGCTGCAGCAGATGCTGCTGCTCCTGCTGCTTCTGTCTCTTTCTCTCTTGCTGCAGTATTTCGTATTCTTTTATCGAGAGAAGAAAATCGTCGCCTGTATAGCCTGCATATCTGTCTCTTTTTGCGTCATAAGTAAAAGATATATTATTATATTTATAAAGAACTTCGTCTGCTGCTAGGTTTTTATTTGTATATTTAGCTTTATTTTTTCTTGGTCTTTCTGTGCATGCATCATGTGTATGAGTTGCAGCCCCACAATTTATGCATGCACCCTTAATATATTTTATTTTTTTATTTTTTTCTGTTTCTTTTTTTAATATATCTTTTTTTATTCTAGCATATATATTATTATATAAATGATAAGAATGTATATCTTTGTCTTTATTATATTTATTGCTTCGTTGGTGGTTTAGTGAGGGTTTAGGGTTTTGTGTTATATACCATGGGGCCCTAGATATATATTGGGGTATATGAGGGTTTATATCTTTCCCTGTCTCTATATCTTTTGCTGCTGCTGCTCTTCCTTCCTTTCTTGCTGCTTCTAATTCTCTCTCTTTACGTGCCTCCTCACGAGACTGAAAACCACCGGGGACGCTCATCTTCTCCTGCTGCTGCTGCTGCTGCT